TACCCTAAAATATTGCTCTTTGACTTGATGGGGTAGAGGAAATTTCCCCTAACTCTATGGATTCTTCTTGGACTGGTTGAACAATCAAATTTTCATCAGACAGATTAGAAAGAGAAAATTACATTTAATTACATGTGTTGAGACCCCACACAGATGGGTATTCTAAAGCCAATAGTGCAAAATGGGGTTATATATCCTGAGCTAAAGAATAGAACAGGGGTCTGGGTCTTCAAAGAGAGAGGACGGAGACTCACATTACTGGGAGAGACTCATATGATGAAGACTAGATGCTCTGTAATTAGATGCTTGTGATATAGATGCTTTCTCTGGTGGAAAGGGTATTTCTGGTTAAAGCCCTAATGCTGAGCAATATGCCCAATTTTTATTCTTCTAGGTAGTTAAAGTAATGATAAAAGTGTCTGGGTAGCCTATGGACCTCAACTGACCTTTGCTAGAAATAATCTGAATTCCAAAGTGACATGACTTGGCACAGCCTGTTCTGGATATTTTGGAAAGGCCTATCCTTCAAGCATAAGCATTAACTTGAGCTGCCTATTGTTAAGAAACAGCTGACATAGGGAAAGCTGTGAAAACTGAGTAGCAGGAACCCTTTTGTAAGGAACTGTTGCATTTGTAGGGTGTCTCCTCAGGAAAAAGAGGCTGACTACATCTCTCATAGTACACAGGGCAAGATTTGATCTGCATAACTATGTACTTGTCTTCTTTGCTTTTTGTGGTACCTCCCATAACTGGCTTCCCTCCCCACAACACCTTCTTTTGTCTTTACCTGAAGATGGTATTTAAGGTGATAGCTTAAGAAAATTAAAATCTTGTCTTCTAGGACCACAAGAAGTTGTTCTGACAGAATCTGGAATTCTTAAAGAGAGACTTCTTTCTTTTATTTCATTCCATACCAAGAAGACTTGAGTTTTATAAAAATGTTAAGCAAAGGCACTCTAAGAAATGGACAATTAATGGGCCTCCCTGGTGGCACAAGGGGTTAAGCCTCAGCAATAGCAAGCTATTGGCAGCCACTGTAGCACAAGTTCAATCCCCGGCTGACAAGTTGACTCACATGGTGCAGTAGACCTCTCCTGTTTCACCCACTGCTCCCCTCAGCAGTGTATTTCAGCAGACCCATCTGTTTGGCTCCCCACTGTCTCTGGTGAATCTCTCAACTCCTGCATCTCTAGCCCAGACCCCAGTTCTTGTATGAATAAAAATAATTTTTCAAAAAAAAAATAAATGGACAATCAAATATTAGTTGGTTGCAAGATAGACCATCACTTCATTTTGAGGGTAAAGACTATTTTGGTGAAGGCAGCACACTCCCCTCATTTACAATAGGGAGAAGCAACTGTGAGTAGATTGAAGGCCACAGCTCTACACTTGATCCCAAGAATTGTACTGAAGCTACTGACTCAACTTACTTATAGAGCTCTTTATTACTTCTCATCAATTCGAACAACACTTCAATGACTTCAAGATAACTAATGCATAACCTGTTGATGATTATTTTACTATCTCCTTGCAATTTGCCATTCACTCTATTTTGTTTCCTTAGTATAAGGTAGTTTGAATAATAAAATAGAATGCTGTTGGGTTTTGAGCAGCATTTTTAAAAAAGGAGGGATTTAAGGATTGGGAAACCAAAAGCAGGTCATGAACTCAGGAGGAGCTATTAAAACAGTTTTAGAGTTAAGCAATGATAATCAACCTCAGAATAATACCAAAGAGAACAGAAAGAATTGTGCAGCCATGAGCTATAATGGGCCAAAAGAAATAAATGAAATATGACTACAAGACTTTAAACTTAATAAAAAAAGAAAGGAAAATGAAACAGTATGTTTTTTGATGGTGATCAAATGAGTGATACCATTTTAAATAAACATTAGTGCTCAATACTATCCAATCCTTTACAAAGAAGGGAAATGCATGAAATGTATGTTACCACTGACAGTTCTGATAAAGTTCAAGAAAAAAAAAATTCTATTTTTTAGTATACTTTATATAGCTGCACACAAAATATCCTTAGTGTCTAGAATTTACAGTCCACTCTTATTTGCAATGCACTGTACACCAATGTTCCTATTACAGGCCGTGACCTTGCAAAGGAGTCCTTGACTTGCATTGCCTCATCCGATGCCAATATCACTATCCACATTATACTCCAGTAACACTGCCACACCTCTCTTTACCTGAACTTAGCGTGCTAGCTCCTACAGAAATCTCCTCACAGGGTTACCTCTATAAGAAATCTCTCTTTTGGGCCTCCCTGGTGGCACAAGGGGTTAAGATGCAACCTATGAAGCTATTCACAGCCACTGCAGCAATAGTTTGATCCCCGGCCAGGAAGCAACCCACATGGCGCAGCAGACCTCTCCTGACTCACCCACTGCTCTCCTCAGCAGTGTATTTCAGTCAGTCTGCCTGTTCTGCTCCCCACTCTGTCTCTGGTGAATCCTCTCATCCCCCACACCTCTGGCCTATACCCCAGCTCTTGTATGCATAAATAAATCTTAAAAAAAAAAAAAAAGGGAAGTTTAAGTTGCTCCAGGTATGAAGAATGACTTAGGGCCTCCCCTGTTGGCGCAGCAGTTGAGTGCTGAGCTGTGAAGCTGCCCGCAGACTCTGCAGTGCCGGTTCGATTCTTGGCCTCCGGCGAGGGTCCCACATAGCACACAGACCTCTCCTGCTGCGCCCACTGCTCCCCTCAGCAGTGTACTTTGGTCCTTCTGCCTGTTCTCTTCCCCACTCTGGCTCTGGTGAATTCTCTCACCCTCCCACACTTCTGACTGTACCCAGTGCTTGTATAAATAAATAAATCTTTAAAAAAATGACTTAATGTCTACTGTAGATCTTTTATTGGGACTGAGGAAGACAAGTTGCATATGTGTCTGGCCAATACCTGTCTACATAATTCTAGAGGGCCAAGGGTTCTCTAATATCCTTATAAGGAGTTGGAATGTGGGCCTTTTTTGGGGGTTTTAAACAGGACATGCCCTTGATTAATGCCAACACCTTAGTATAATGCGAGGTGTAGTTGTTGCACAAAACTGTGAACTATGTTTTTTAATAAATAAAATGATTGCTAGGAAATGACAAATCAATCGTACTTTTTCATCTAGAAACTAGATGAATCTATAACACCATAAGTGTAAAGAAATATTAATATTTAATTTCTATTACTGTTAATCAACTCTTACAGGACCATTTATTTGTTTGTTTATTGTAATATCAGTAAGAACTCTTATACTTAACATAAGAAATTAATGGAACACTCAACTAACTTCTCAAATAGATAAGCCTTTAAAAATTATGGAACCCAAATTTTGCTCTCACTGACCAGCAACTCTGTCCCTTATTTTTGCATTGATCAAGAGTTTACACCCACGACAAAATTCAAACTATATTAGAATAGTCTGTTAATTATATATATTTGGTCTTTTTTAATGACAATTTTATACATTTAATACCATTTTAATTGTAACAATATCTAATGTATATCCTTTATTATTGAAAAACAGTGAAGAGACAGGATTACTGTTAATATTTTGACAAGTTTCTTGTAATCTTTTATTCTATATAAACGCAATTTTCATGAAATTTGAAAGTTTATAAATTATCAAATACTCCTTTTTACATGCTTCTTCATATAATCATTTCCCATGTTATGTTTTAATATGATAAGAGAATATTACTACCTCATTTCACTGATGTGCAAGATGGAATATGGAAAGATCAGAGATTATTTAACTGTTTCTTCTACCATGGGATGGTCTGTTTCTATATTTTCAGTGTATTACTAATAAATAACTACATGAGGGGGTGTTGAGAAAATTGAGTATAATAAAGCCTTTAAGTTACTCAAAACAAAGCCCAATAAAACATCACTACCTATGTTCTATATTGTAAGTTATATTCCCCCTTGTTTTACATGAATTTTAAGCTTTGAGGTTAAATGCATTTATCACCTTTTTGTGGGTTTCTTTTAACAATTAATTCTCTATAGCCTCTACAAATACTATTAAGAAACTGAGAACATCTGTATATAAAAACATTTCTTGGGCCTCCCTGGTTGAGCGGGTACCACAGCGGGTTGAGCGCAGCACTGAGAGGCTATCCGCAGCCCCCGTGGTGCAGGTTCGATTCTTAGCTGGCTAGGGAGATACCCACATGGTGCACCAGACCTCTCCTGTCTCGCCTGCTGTTCCCCTCAGCAGTGTATTTCAATCCTTCAGCCTGTTCTGCTCCCTGCTCTGTCTCAGGTAGATTCTCTTACCCTCTCATGCCTCTGTCCTGTACCCCAGTGCTTGTATAAATAATTAAAAAAAATCCTTTCTTCAAGACCTTATGCTACCTCCATTGCAATATATAAGTACATATGTGTCTGATAAAGTAATTTCAATGTGCATGTAAAAATTCTTCAATATGAGCAGATAGATTGCCTTTTAGAGCTGAAATTTTTTAATTTTTTTTTGCAGCAATGTACCTTATTACATTCCTTTCATTTTAGACACTAAATCATTTAACCAACAGTGGGCATAGTCCCATTATTAAAACTTTCACATACATTGTAACCAGCTGAACTAAAACAGCAGCTGTCCACTGGAAATAACTGCAGAAATGTTTTGCCCATTGGCTGGAAATCAAGCATATGTTTTCCAAGAACAACAAAAATCTACCTTTTTTTGTTGATGTGTGTTAATTATTGAGGAATGTTAATTACTGATTTATACACCTGGACCATCATAAGATTAGTATAAAATCCTAGCACATCAGTGGTGGAGATTTTCATAAATATTTTAAATTTAGTTCTTCAAATACTTGAGACAATAAAACAATTTTCTGAAACAATTCCTTTCGATTTTTTTTTTAACTTACCATTTGTTAAAGATCATGTCTACAAAGAGGAAGAGGGTCAAGGGCCCCTTCTACTCCATATCTAATCCGTGCTGGGATCGGATTAAACACATCATACCCAGTAGTTTTTAGTTTGGATTACAACTACTTTCTATCTCCTTTGCATCTATATTTAAGAGAGCATGATAGGTTTCACCACTTTCCGTGTTCTCTTTCTATAAACTCAAGTATTTCAATTCATTCATAGAAATTTTTAAGTGAAATAACTGGTAATACAGCCAGACTTTAACAGTTTGGTTTCTACTTCTGAGTTTATAATGTTTTCATGCACGTGGAGTCTACTTGACTTACAAGGTTTTTGGATGACTTTAGGGCTCCATTATGGGCACATTCAATGAAGAAGCATCCTCATCTCTCCATGTAGGTCATTTAGATGCACAATTCCTCATGTGTCATCTTGTTATAGTGCTCTTGATAAAAGCTGGGTTTACTCACAAAAGAGACCTCATGGGCTGTGTTTATAAAAGTCTTTTAAGATTCTCTAAGACTCTGACATATAAATGCATAGCTTTTCTTCCTGAAATTAAATTGAAAATGGTTCCACATGCATTCAGTTTGCCTGACACATTCCTCCTTCAAAGCAGACGTGGCTTCTCAGTAATCTCTGTAATGTTACCCTAATAGAAAATAAAAATAAAGACCCTACCTTCTGTATAGTAATGATTCCTTCCTGAGTATCTTTGTCAACAGAAATCTTGAAAATCCCCATTCCATCACCATCCACGATTCTGTACTCCATTTCAGCATTAGGACCTATATCTGCATCGGCTGCTTTAATTCTGGCCACAACAGAAGCTACTGGCAGTGATTCTGGAACATTATACTGGTAAGACCCTGTGAAAGTGAAAACAAGAAATGAACAAATCCTTGGACCAATCTAACCAATAATAATGCAATAATATGGTTGTTTGGCTATTTTGCATCTTCTTTGCTTAATTCATTTCTATTTTTGATAAGGAAGATGGCACAGCAATTTGAAGCAAGTGACAAGGTTACATAGCCTCAGAGAGTTTGTGAGGATGGTTAGCTCATAAACCAACAGGTGAAACGGGAACAGATGATGTGAAGACAGGCAAGTGTATAGTCTCCATCCTTGTATTCCTGGTAGTGAGCAGCATGCAAATTTTAACAATTAAAAAAATTAAAATAATTGTAATTGGCATTAATAGTCATTGGCCAAAAATACATAAATATATGCTATGAAAATTAAAAAATAAAATAGTATAGCTTAGGCTTCAAGCAAGCAAATATAAATACAAATAATCCTGATTATTTAATGCTAGAGTTTAAATAGTAGTTTATTTTCAACAAAGTATTTTTTAATAACTAAAAAGTTCAGGATGTTGGACAGGGAAGTTTATGAAAGCAACATTACTCTTCTATTAGCTTACAAATTTACCAAAGAGAGTAACGATTCATGTGGGGGGTATGTAAAACTTATTTGGGATACAATGGTATAGAGCAAAAACAAAAAAAAAAAAAATGAAAGACATTTTTATTCACCTGTCTTTTATGAAAATGTTTCAACATTCCCTCAACTAAAAAACAAAAAACAAAACAAAACAAACAAAAAAAACCCCAAAAAAAACAGTTTGGAAAGCAGATGAAACACATGAATCATCTATCCCTTTGAAAGAAGGAAGTGCCTCAGAACATTATATGCCCTCTCCACACTTCTCTGATCTTCTACCTTTCCCTGCTTCTTCCACCCTATTCCATTTCCTTTTGGTTGTTAAATGTGGTACATTGCCACTTTCTTATGAAGTCAAAATGCACCTATTACTAAGAGGAATATGAAGGAAATTGTACGCATCTGAAGGTAATACATTTCGGCTGAGGATTGCTAGAATTGCTTGTTGCTCTTTTCCATGTTCTAAATTTTGTGCATGATGATTTTTTAAAACAATGATCACATGTCCTTATCACTCTTTGAGTGACCTCTCTCACACGTCATGTAGTGTCTTAGTACAATCTAAAAATGTCAATATTAAAGTAGTAGTTAGATGGTAGAGAAAATTCTAGAAAACTGCAACCCTAGTGACCTATTCTTAGCCTCCCTCATTTAGTAAGAGGGAGAGTAGCTAATGAGTTAGAAAACCTAAACTCTGTCTTACCAAATTTTAGGAAGTGAAAACACAAAAATTCTGTGTCTTAACCACTCTTAGGTTTAAAGAGAAACGGTTAATATAATCATGAGTCCAAGACAGTTGCATTATTGTACTGTTGTTTACTCACAACCCTACTCTCCTCCCCTACTACAAGCCATCAAGAGTACAATTAAGAATGGGTCTTTTGGGGGGTCTCCCTGATGGCGAAGGCGGTTGAGCGTAGCGCTGTGAAGGTGTCCGCAGCCTCTGCAGTGCCTGTTTGATCCCCACCAGCCTCAGAGCAACCCACATGGTGAGCAGACCTCTCCTGCCTCACCTGCTACTCCCCTCAGCAGTGTATTTTGTCAGTCTGCCTGTTCTGTTCCCCGCTCTGTCTCTGGTGAATCCTCCCATCCTCCTGCGCATCTGGCCTGTACCCCGGGTCTTGTATAAATAAAATAAATCTTAAAAACAAAAAAAGAATGGATCTTTTTTTTAATTACTACCTAGAGTAATTTTTATTTTTCCAGGATGTATATTAAAATGTTTTTTGCAAAATAATATAAATAATACATGTATGCAAAATGAAAATGAAACATCTAAAGCAGTATTTGAAGGGAAATACAGTGACATTCATATCTGTGAGAAAGTTTCCTTGATCAACATTCTTTGTTTCTAAAGATGTGTTTGTAATGGAGCTTACAAGGGCAATTTCCTTATTTTCTTGAGTATTTTAAGGAACTATCACATACACTTACAGGAAACAAAAAAAGACACCTGAAAGAGAATAATATGAAATGCTTTTTACAATCAGGCACCTCTCCTTCGAGAATTGTTTTTCCTTTTTCTTGGTTAAGTCAAAAGTCACTTTGGTCAAATAAACTAAATTCAGGGCTTGCTCTTTCATGGTTCTTTGGATTGATTTCTTTTGAAACGCTGAGTGTTTGCACAAGGAAGAAGTAAAATTGCTAAAGGAATGTCCAATGTGCATGAAAATTGGTTAAAAAAGAAGTGTGGAATAAAAATTGAAAACTCCAGCACACTTCTATTTTGAGCTTTAAAAATAAAGCATATTTTAGTGTATAGAATTCATGAATTGTATCTGAATTTTATTAATTGCCAACAAATTTGTAACTTACAGGACGTATAAAGAGGAAGTTGGAATAACACATTTGATGCGTAAACACACTTAATAATTGTCTATCCAAATGTGAACAGAAGCAAAGCCACATTATACTTATGATAGAAGCCATACAAGTATATGATCGCTTCTATTCATGTTCAATTATTCCACTTTTCTGAATTAAAATCATGCCTTGGATAAAAAAAAATTTGGAAGAATATAATAGAATTATCTGTTTGAGAGCTATATGCACAAAACATTCCTTTTTAAAGTTATGTTTTTAGACTGGCAAGGAAAGCTAAAGCACTTGCAACTTTTAAGAAAATCACTTACTTCGAGGAAAGCGAGGTGGGTTATCATTGACATCAGTTAGGGTCACGGTGACCGAAGTAGTTCCTGAGAGTCCTCCATTTTGACCAACCATATCCTTTGCCTGAATAACAAGCAAATACTGGTCTTTAGCCTCTCTATCCATGTTTGGAAGGGCGGTCTTGATGACTCCTGTAAAATTTCAAATCCCAGTAAAATGCATCATGAATCACTACATTTCTACCAACATAGAATATTGATATAGGTAGCAAGCTGTTCTTGAGTTGTCTTTTGTAGTTTTGTTGGTTCATCTTTAATGATTTTAATGCATATTAAAGACCGAAGGGACATGCCAGTTATATATGATAATTAAAATATTATTGCATATTATAGAAAATGGAAGAGCAGGGTCCTTTGGTGTTGGATAGAGGATTATCTTTAAGTTTTATGGAAATATGGTTCATAAAATACCAACCCAGAAATGATAAAATGTTCCACCTTATCCTAGAATAATAGGCCAGTTATTGGTACAAGTACGTGACAATGAATCTCCTTTACTTCTCTTCACCTTCTCCAACAACTTAATTCCTGGTGACATGAACATGCCCTAAACAGTTCAGCAATGGTACCTACTCTGCCTCTCTACAGAGAAGAGAGCAGAAACATTCTACAAAGAAAAGGATGAAGGTGATTTATGTTTAATAAGCAAAATTCCATTTCAATCAGCAGCAAAGATGCTGGAGACCATAGCTGATGCTATCTCTTGTGATTGAGGAAAAGTATGAAAGGTGAAAAGACCATGCTCATGGAAACCAGCCACATTAAAAGTATCAGTGCTGTGAGTTTCTATTTAATTGCAGTTAATAGCAATAGCCTTGAGACTTCAGCTATATGAGAAATTGACTTCAGAACATATTTTGATGAGAAACAATTCAATAGTTATTATTGAAGTGAATTAGTTGTTTTATAGAACTAATTAATCATTATAGAACTAATTAATCACTGTCTATGCTAGTTAATAGTATCTAATTTGAAATTTTAACTGCTATACCATAAATATGCAAAGTGAAATAAATATGTAAGATTATATACTCAGTAGTGAAAAGCTACTTAGTTAATACCAATCAACATAGACCCTGAAACTCGGCATGGGATGCCACCTGCAGTAATAGAAGTCTAGAATCCTACCTCACCCTTTCTTGCACTTTTGTCTTTTCCAGCAAAACCAATGTTTCACCTCTCCACCTAAGGCCATTAAATTTATTAACTTACCTTGAAAATATATAATCCACCTTAATAAATAAATTCTAACTTTTAGGGTGATGTCAGATTGTAAATCTTAGCTAACTCAGACCTAAGGAAGACCGATGTCACGACCTTCTTGGGGACAAGCAGAGTTCTTCCATAAAGGATGGCTCTTTGTGAGGAAAATAACTGCTGACAAAGTGGGCTAAACATACCCTTTCCTCACATTCAGTGTAAAAGTATCTGATATCCTTCAAAATTGCAAAAACATTTTTAAGCAGCCAATGAAAATTTTTCAAAGGCTGGTCTGTCACAGGCATGTGAAATAGTGGTCTGTGTGTTGTAAAGCTACACCACAGGAGGCCTGCCCTGCATGTCCCAATAGTCTAGTTTGGTAACTGTCCTGGGTGGGTGGAGACAGATGAGAAAAGCTTGTCAAAATTTTGAGAATAATTTAGCGATTACTGTTTAAAGATTTCAAGTTATATTTAACTCTCTTGTTCACTGAACCCTGTTTTAGTTCAGGTTCTAGAATCAACTATGAAACACGGACACATCTCAACCACACTTTAATATTTTAAGCGTTTAAATTATATTTTGGGGGTCCATTTTTATCAACATTAATCACTAATTCTAATACAGTAATTGGGCACACTACAATCACATTAATTCAAGTCTACTTCAACACCCCCACCAGAGGAGTTCATTTATCTACACACTGCTTATAATGAATCTTTGAAACAGCACAATGAAAATCAAAAGGAACATAGTCATATATGCATTTGTTTCAGTGGATAAGTGTATGATACATATTCTTCTTAGAGGTATAATGGTTCTATGAATATTTCATGTTTTTCAATACTTCTGTGAGCTCTAATAAACAAAAAATGACTGACCTCCAAATACTCACTGTTACCAAGCATAAAAAAATTTATCTGTCCAGTCTAAGACATATACCTCCATCTTTCCTTGTTTTAATGTTAGTCACCTTTTATGTATTTTAACCCTCTTTTGTAATTGAGTATTCGCTGTCTTGAATAATAAGCCAATAAGAGTGTTTCATCTAGATCACAAAATATTAATGAGTTATTTTTAGAAAAAGTTCCTACTGGTGCAGTTTTAATAGTTACTTTTCCATCCAATATCAATAGGAGTTTTTAACCTTGCACATTTATTATCATAGAGAGGGTTCCAGAACACTGCAGCCTCATCCTTTTGTGGTTTTGCTTAGTGGCATAATTTTTGAAAGGAAATACAGCATTTACTGGCAAAGAAAATAGTTACTCATATTTTTACACCTCTAATGTCTCTCTACAATGACCCTATAAATAACTCTTTCCAAAGTAAAAATCATAACAAAGTTTGCAAAGTAATGCAGGTGGCAAAGGTAATTTCCAATCGCCTCAAATATTAACCATATTTTTGACAAGAATGGAATAATTGGGAGAAAACTGATTTCAAATAAGAACATTCAGAAGTAATAGATTTTTGGTTGCATGGCTTCTGTTAGCTTTTTATTTTTATAAACTGTTGACATTTGGAAAAGAATTCTCAAACACTGTATTTGATTTGCATTTTGCTATATGTTACTAGACACACACAACACACACACACAGAGCAAACTGCTAACGCAGTGTCTGAAGTGATAAAAACTAGTCTTGTCTAAACAGATCCCTAATTCTGTGAGCGTCTCATGGAAGATATTATTTCATTTAAATAATCAATTTTAGCTGCTTACTATGAGAAAGATATATCCTTAATAGCTTCAGAAAAGAAACTGACTCAGGTTTTAGGCATTTGAGTAATAATTTTTCATCTGACCTAGTAACCAGAACTTTTTCATTTGTTTATAATCCACATGCCTCTGAAGCATAATTTGATCATGCCTCTGCCCAACAACTGCCTGCATGTTTTTAGTCTGATAATAAACTTACAGGCGATTCTGTAATGCCATACCACTCATTGATGACATATATAATTATTTTTTTTAGCATCAAAGCTATTAGTTTTGCTGATGTTTTCTCTTTCCAAAACATTAATATCTCTTCTTTTCAATCAGATTATTTGCAATGAGATAACTGATTTTTTTTTAAGCAGTCTGTTACTACACAACCCTTTTTAAGATTTTTATGTGAACTACATTAACATGTAAGAGCCATTTTCTGACACCACCCCATTTAGGGAACCAGCCGACTACTGGGGCTGGGCAGCTGCACAACTCAAGCTTCTGGAATCATGCTTCAGACCCATCAGGCAACAGCAGTGACCCACGGTAGGCAGAGGCTGGGACATTTATTTGGTGTGGCTCCATATACCTTAGTAATACGAGGTGAATCACTCTCTTGTAAGTTTGCATATGTTTTGAAATTAGCATCTATATCTTATATTACTTGGTTTGTCTACCTGTTAGTGAAGCATACAGAACCCTAAAGATGGAGCAAAGTCAATGATAATAATTAGTTGGAAACTTCATCAAAGAATTTCAGAACTAGCATCAAAGAATCATGGAGGAATTGCGTCTGCTAACTCATCAGAGGACACCCTTCGTCAGCCCCAACATGGGGTGAGTGCTTTTGCACCTTGAGCCAAGCCACAGAATGAAGCTACTATAAGGACATACTGTGGAGGGGGTTTGTCATAACCGTATTATTCACATAAAATTATGATGTGACGAGTATGCATGTAACACATGGTACTATGTACTCACATCTTTTATGTTTGAGAAAGAACAGACAAGAATAAACCCAAGCAAAGCCCTGAAATCTGAATGCAAGATGGATACCACTAAGGGGAGTAGGAGAACTAGGGAGGACCAGTAGGAGGGGGTACAATGGGCTGTGGTAGAGGATTATTGGGACTTTGGGGTAGTCACGGCATGATAACATATTTCAAGAGGTGTGAACCTATACTCCTAAATCATATACAATTTTGCTAACCGAAGTTAGCACCATGAACATAATAAAACCCCGAAACCTCCTGAATGACAAGTGGTGCTTAACTCTCAACTCCTTTTCTAGACCAGCTTCAAGGCTCCTGGCCTGGTGCTTGGTTTTCTTGGTCAGCTAATGTGACCTTGAACTCATACTGACTTCAAAAGGGGCCTGCATTTTTATTTTGACCAGCAAATTAGTATCCAGGCCGGCCATATCACTAATAGATAGAGAAATGGGATGTTTGCTTGAAGGTTGTGGGATAGGGAATACCTTAGAATAATCCTCAGATTCCCACTAAGTTTACGGACCTTATGACAGCTGACAGGAACCCCTGCAGTCCTGTTAATGCAATCTCTTTGCAGTCTTTCCCACGCGCTCTGCTTGTCAACGTGGGTTTTCTCAGATACTCACATTCTAGTATGGTGGATGGAAAACATTAAGGTAGAAAATACAATCCACTTCTGGTCATTGGACTTTTAGTAGAGCTCAGATAAAATATGTGCTAGGTTAACGACATATGATTAAGAAATAGTGATTATTATTGATCGTATAATGTTATAATTCATTTTTAAAAGAAAGTTAGACAAACTGAAAGAAATACACCTGGCAGTGGTTTCATGTGGACCTATTTTTACATCTTGATTTAGAATATTTTCAGTCATTTTCCTGTCTAAAGTTTTGCTTTCTTGGGCCTTCCCTAGTGGCGCAGCGGTTGAGCACTGGGCTGCAAAGCTGCCTGCAGCCTCTGCATCTCTGGTTTGATCCCCGGCCTCCGGCAAGGGTCCCACATGTCGGGCAGACCTCTCCTGCTGTGCCTGCTGCTCCTCTTGGCAGTGTATTTCGTCAGTTTGCCTGTTCTGTTCCCCGCTCTGGCTCTGATGAATTCTCTCACCCTCCCGCATTTCTGACTATACCCAGTGCTTGTATAAATAAATAAATAAATAAATAAATAAATCTTTAAAAAAAAATTACAAGTTTTGCTTTCTTCTCAAAACCCTTCGATGTGGAGATGAGGAAATAATGTTATTTCTCACACTGATAAGAATCATACTGACGGCCAGTTAGGAAGACTAAGTTAAACTTGATTTATAGCTCTCTCTGTCCTTAAGGACTGAAATTTTTCTATTTTGTCAGAAAAACTACTACTACTACTACTATTACTACTATTATTATATTATTATTATTATTGCCAAATAGGCATTCTACACAGTAGGAATTAGCAGAGGATAAATATTCCCAGAATAATTCTTCACTAATGAATAGATAAGGAGAAGTTCCAATGATCACCATGATGATGTCCTTAAAAACAAAATAAAATTAAACTAAACTTTCTCCCCCTTCTGTAATACAGCCCTTGAGATTCTGAAACTCAAGTTTGAAGAACTAAACAATGTGATCCCAAGACCGAACCCACTGGCCAGTTTCCGGCCACAGAGCTTTTGAAAAACCTATTATCTTACAACAAAGCTAAAATTGCAAGCCAATCATTAGTAGCACCAAAATATTTAAGTCTTGGGATTATTACATGCTATTCTGGGGCAGGTTATATAATGCAGGAGTGTATAATTTGTGAGCAAATTGTCAGAAACTCATCAATGTCTTTCTAGGCAGCAAAGCGTAGATATATAGGGAACGGGTGGGTGTCTGAATTCAGGTTTCTCAGATCTATCATTATATCAACCCCAAGCATCCTTTCTACATTCACAGGATTCCTACCATAAATCAATACTTCCATTTACTTCTCCTTCAATATCTGCTTAATCAGCACTCTTTCTTCTCTATTAGACCTTCCAGGTGGCTTTCAAACTCCACCACTACATTGCTATAAGATATGCAACGCAATCTCGATGAAAACCCTAATGAATGGGCCTCCCTGGTGGCGCAGTTGAATGCCGCACTGTGAAGCTGTCCACAGCCTCTGTAGCGTGGGTTCGATCCCAGCCGGTCAGGGAGATAACCACATGGCACAGCAGACCTCTCCTGTCTCACCCACCGCTCTTCTCAACAGTGTATTTCAGTCAGTCTGCCTGTTCTGTTCCCCGCTCTGTCTCTGGTGAGTCCTCTCACCCTCCTATGCATCTGACCTGTACCCCAGTTCTTGTATAAATAAATCTTTTTAAAAAAGTTAAAGAAAACCCTAATGAATGATGAGATGATGAGCTAGGATTGAATTTATTCCTTTGTTCATGCACATTGCCACTGCCGTTCCCAAAAGACATTTAAAATATTTATCCCCTGTGGAGATTTGAGAATGAATTAATATTGCCATTTTTAAAATATGGAAAACAAGATAATTGGCATGAAAATATTCATTTAGGATCATTGGTACTAACAAACATTCATAATCATCAAGTTGGTTATTTGAAGAATTCTTCTTCCCGTGATAAAAACAAAATTATTATGTAGACAAATTTTGGATTTTTACAGTGATGAAGAAAATCAACAGCATGCACCCACCCATTTTCACACCCACCCATTCCTTACACACAAGCTAGAAGAGCAGAGTAGATAAAATATTATTTATAAGCAACGTAACAATGCTCCAAATTATAATCTTGCATAAATTAAACTAGTTCAGCTAAAAAGCAAAACAGAATATCTAGCAACAAATCAGTCTTTACACCAGTTTTGTAAGTCATAGAAAATATTAAATTAAAAAATAACCATTTATTTAGCAGATCATCATCTTAATTTCTATATTTATGTGCTATACCTTGAGAAAACCAACTTTTTGGAAGGGCAAACTGAACTTACTACCTGTTCCACTGCATGGCAAGGAGATTTCTGCTGGAGATTAAGCTCTACTCTGTGTAATTCTTACGTGAAATAATTATGGAAACCAAAAAAGAAAATCTAAAACTTAAAGAATCAACACTTTCTTAAATATTCAGAAGACAACAGCTGAAATATGTTTATAATATACTATTCTGTTTTATTTTGGCAGGAATAATGAGAAGTGTTATAAAATATCCTTTAAAAATACTAACATCTCTATATTATACACTACTTATTACCAAAATTGCACATAGTGAGAAACACAATACAAATACAGTGGCCATGATCAGTGTTAATTAGAAAAAAAATAAGTAATATTAATTCAATGACAGGTGGGCAATGATCACTTTACAAGGAGAGTCACAGTGCTGTTTACCTGTCTTTGGTTCCACAGAGAAATACGGCTGCCCTTGCAGGATGCTGTAGACACTCGGGCACTGTTGCCATAGGTGTCATCAGCATCCGTTGCTGTCACCTGTACCACGGAGGTCCCTATGTGCCAATGCAAAAGCCATTGAATTAAAAACTGCTAATTGCCACAAAACGTAAGCACTCATAAAATGCTACAGAGCCTGCCCTGGATTTATTTTTCATGTGTCTTGACAGCAAAATAAGTACAGTATTTTTTTTTTGTATACAACAAACCCCAAAAGATGATAAATGTTAATAAAGTCCTTAGACATAGTCAAGGGACATGAAAACATGGTGGCAAAATTTAAGAATGATGAAGTTTGTTGGGCGGGGATAGGCTCAGAATTGGGATGTGCTGACACTTAAGATAACTCAGCCACTAGAGCCTGGTAAAACACTTTTATAAAAGTAATCTCTATTAAGTCTCAATCACTGTCCAAAAGGCAGCATGAGAAGTAACAGCATCGTGACACCCCAATTGTTCAGGAGAACTCATTGTTATAGCTCATTAAATCCAGACAGAAATTAAAAATTCACTCACTGATTAAAGACTATTCAACTGATATTTGATGGCTACCCTATGCTATTGATGATAGTTTTTTTTTTTATTTTTTCTACTTTTTGATTTAAAAAAAAATGAAACTTGAAACCAAATATCCCCCCAACCCCAGAGGAGGAAAAGCATGACAACTTTAAAAATCACATGGCTAGATGTTTTTCCACATTTCATGGATTGATTGTAGTGATTCTTTATTTCACTATTATTCAACATGGAAGGCATTTTATTGTATCCTATTTTCTTTATATCCATTTGGAGTATTATCTTGAAAATATCATACTTCATACTTCATGCTTTCTAAGTTTATATATTTCAGAATCTGCTATTTATTATTTATGTCCAAGTGATGGAGATGTGACCAGGTCTGTTTTATGTCCTTGTCCCTGTGTAACATGCTATTAACATACATGCACCACTTTTTAATTCTTAAGTCTTTCCTTTGACAGACTTTGATTACTGCGCTTACGGATTCCTAAAAGAACCAACTGGTGAATGACATCTATTTTTTAACAATTTTAGAATTAAATTTGAGTATTTTAAGATGTTAGATTAAATGACATTGATGATCTCTATTTTCTTTATAATGCACCACTTTAAAGCAGCATCTATTCTAGTGATACAAACAACTTTAAAGAAATGAAAACTGAAATTCAGTAAATTTTGGTTGCATATATTTCTTCTGATGTGTTTATTAATTTAACACACATTCTCAAATAGCTTTAAATTCCCATGGTAATTTATGTTCTCTTGGCAATGAATAAACCATCCTAGGGGCCTATTAGGATGTTTTAAATCTTACAGTTAGCATCCAGGTGAAAGAAACAGTCC